GGATTCGGCGGCAATTCGGCAGCAGGTACGCCGAAGCCGCGGGACCAGGGACCTCCCGCAGGCATGCCGCCAAATCCGCAGGACCGGGGACCTCCCGCAGGCATGCCGCTGAAGGCAGCCTGCCTGCCATGCTTGGGGCGGCAAAAAAGCTAGAGCCGCCCCTGGCAGTCGCAAGGAGCTGTACAGACTTTGCAAGCTCACGGGGTTCCAACCAATGCTTTGTTGCCTTTTCCATCTAATTCAGGGCCTGCCCTCACACCAGGGCCGGGATGTGGGGAAGAGATGGCAAAACAAGATAAGTCAGCACCAAGCTCATCATTTTTAATCTTTGGGGCTACCAGAAAACCTAGGTGGGGAAGAAGGAAATGGGGAACTGTTATTTAATTAGCCAAGGCAGCTTGGCTAACTAAATCCATCCACTGCTCCAGAAGCTTCAATTAATTGCTTGTTGTTCTGCAGACTAAGGGTATATCTTTACTACAGAAGCTACAGTGGCACAGAAGCTATGCTGCTCATAGTTAAGGCTACAGTTTAGTCACAGGTATTTTTAGTAAAAGTCATGGACAGGTCACAGGCAATAAACAAAAAGTCACGACCAGTGACCTGTCCATGCCTTTTACTAAAAATACCCCTAACTAAATCTTAGGTGCTTGGGAGGGGGCAGGGGTGCTTCAGCGGACTCTGCTGCTCCTGGTGGGGTGAGGGCAGGCCAGAGCCCCACCGTTGCTTCTGGGTGAGGGGCGGCCCAGGACCCAACCACCGCCACTGCTCCTCCAGGCGGGGAGCAGCCCAGGGCCTCACCGCTGCTGCTGCTAGGGTGGGGGAGTGGCCCAGGGCCCATCTCCGCTATTGCTCCAGGCGGGGCAGCCTGGGCCGCCACTGCTGTTGCTCCAGACAGAGGCGGCCCAGGGCGCCACTGCTGCTCCTGGATTGCTGCTCTGGGGCAGTGCCTGGGACTATCTAAGCAATGCTGATGCAGCTGGCCCCGGGGCTGCCCCAGCTGCTGGGGCGGCCCTTGGGTCAGCTGCACCAGCCGCTGCAGAAGTCCCGGAAAGTCCCGGAATCCGCTACTACCATGACCTCCGTGAGAGACTCGCAGCCTTACTCATAGTGTAGCACCGCACTGTAGACACTTGCTACAGCAACAGAAGGGGTCTTTCTGTCAGAAGTAAATTTACCCCCTCGAGAAGTGGTAGCTGGATTGACTGAAGAATTCTTCCATCGACCTAGTGGTGTCTATACCTGGGCGAATGTTGGCTTAACTGCGTCTCTCATGGCATGTGAATTTTTCCATGACATAGCCAGATCGACCTAGGTTTTAGGTGTAGACCAGGCCTGAAATTTGTCTAAGGGTCCTCAAAGGTATTTAAAAATACAGTCCACAATACATTCCAACCCTTTGGAGAATCTAGCCTGGGCAACTAAGGCCTGGTCTATATTAGGAAATTAGGTCAGTATAACTATGTTGCTCAGGGGTGTGAAAAATCCATTCCCTTGAGCAATGCAGTTAAAGCGACCTAACCCATGGTCTAGGAGAATTCTCCCGTTGACCTAGCCACCGCCTCTCAGGGAGATGGATTACCTGCGCTGACAGGAGAACCCCTCTTGTTGGGGTAGGTAGCATCTTCACTAAAGCACTACACAGCTGCTGCACCACTGTTTTAAGTGTAGACAAACCCAAAGCATGGATTGCTGCACAGATTTAAAGGACCTCACACTAAAGAACAGCTGATCAAAGTCTGCCCCTAGGCCTTGTTAAGGACAAGAAGGCTGCAAAATCGCACTTGAGAATTATCTGCTTCAGAAATGCTCAGGGAAGCTAGAGTACATGGTTTGACTGTGTGTGCTTTTTGCACTCCACTACTCAGCTCTCTCCTTCACTGCAAAACAAATCCCCACATCTGGGGAAGTGATTTTCCACTAGGTCCCAACTCTGACTTGTGCAAACTGTTGCCCAGCAGAAGGCATCATTATTAAATAGAGGGAAAGTGGGTTATACAGACAACAGTGCATGCCCTGAGCGGTAGAAACAAGCAACCAGTGCCTTTAGTATTTCCTTTAAACCTGATTTTTCAGGTACTCTATGGATAAAAATAACACTTAGCACATATGTACCACAGTACAGATTCAACGTCCTGTCACTAAACCAACTTACCGTACCCCTCTCTTTAACACTCACCTTTTCATTGCCTGGGCTCGGTTAGGGCTCTTTTCATTCTCCCCTCGTTTGGACACTCACATCCCCCTTACCCTCCTTCCATTTACCTTGTTTTTCAGGTTCTGGTGTTTATGGCCTAATTCAAATCTTCAACCTGCAAGTGAACAGGAGTTTTGATCACTGCTCTTAGTGGCAGCAGGATTGGGCCCTAAATCCATAGATGGGGATAGATGTTAGTATTCTGATCTGAGTGCTTATTGTAAAGTGTATAACACATCTACGCAAATGGTAAATCATTTCTGTGCAATAGAGATAATTGGGTTTGTGCATTATTGCTAATTTGGATAGTGTTTGGAAGGAAAATAAAATCCAACACATACTACAGATGCCCCAATGCCATGACACTTGGATCTAGATGAAGATTAAAAACACCTCGAAGTTCAGGGGCACTTGGACCCAGGATTTCAGTTTGGCTCATTATAAAGACAGGGATTGTTTCCAGAATTTGGATTCCAGTTCTGAGTTTAAACAATCTCATAGTTCAAGACTATTCAGACGGAGGGTTTCAATTCAGGCCCATCTCTAACATATAACTAATAAAAACAAACACATCATTGGCTATATCAAGCTACTCCCTAAGGATCAAAGTTGCTTTCATTAGCCACCTGGACCATCCACTTGACTGTGATACACTTGTGGCAGCTGCAATAACCTGCCCATCAGTTGCTCACTTCATTTAACCACACAAACATGCTCTAATCAATTACAGGACAACAAAACAGTTCCAATTTTCCCATCTGCACTGGAAGAAAGGGGAAATGCCCATCTCATCTGAGAAGGAAGAACCCAGATGTTACTAAGAAATATGGCAGTAACTCGAAAACAGAGAGAAGAGCAGACACATTGCACTCTCACAATATTTCTGAGGCAGGCAAAGTGTTACAGATAAGTCTAATTTTTCCTCCACATACCACTTTGGACCTGTTTCACCCTAACCAGCCCATAGCATCCATAGGAGACACCGTGCAGCCATTCATCTGAAATTGAAACACTTGAAAATTATACATTAGTAGTTTATGTTTTCATTTACCCAGAAGAGTTGAGCAAGCTTCTTGTTTATCACTATCTATACAGTCAATTTCCCGACTCACCCATCTTGTTCTTCCTGATCCCAGTTAAGAGCTCAGCAGCTGACAAGCCACATTCAAATAGATGGTAAGGCTTTAAGTCCCCTATTTCTTGCCTGAACCCCACCGTAGTCCTTGCAAGCCTGCCCAGCTGTGAAGTCTAATACAGAGTCTGGCTGAACTATGCCTAGGCATAGCTCAGCCTAGGCATATGGAGGGAAGCTGGCATCAATAATTCAAGCTTCCGCATGGCACCCTTGAACTTTTCAACCAACAGTGGCACCAGCTGGTTACCAGGGGCTTGGGAAAGAGGAGATGAGGGACTTCACTTGAGCCAGAGCCAGCATCAGACCTGGTGTAGCAGGTGCAGCTCCAGAGTCTGAAAGAGCAGGTCAGCTCAGAGTCGCAGGGCTACAAGCTCAGAGGTTACCAGACTGAGCGATGTTGATGCCATCCCATGCATTGCTCTAGCTAGTGAAGGGGACGGAGTGCCCTGGTCTCTGACTTCTGGGCCATTAGAATTCAGTTCCAGCTCAGGACCCAGGTGGACATGGGGTTTGGTGGCCTCTGACCCATTCTCTTTCCCCACATCTACCTGAGGCCTGGCTGCAGTCCCTGCTGAGGAGGAGGACAGCAGTGCATCGGGTTTCTGATCAGGACAGGAGTGAGGTACAGCAGCAGTGATGTACCAGAGAGGCTTGCGACACATGCAGAAGCACTAAATCCTCCCCCAGTTGCTTTTCAGTTAAGCCTCACCTCACTTTCCTTGAATACAGATCTCCCAAGAGGAGAATTTCACTGCTGATCAAGTGTCAGAGGGTAGCCGTGTTAGTCTGGATCTGTAAAAAGCAACAGAGAGTCCTGTGGCACCTTTAAGACTAACAGATGTATTGGAGCATAAGCTTTCGTGGGTGAATGCCCCAGATGTATGCTCCAATACATCTGTTAATCTTAAAGGTGCCACAGGACTCTCGGTTGCTTCTTACTGCTGATCAAGGATCCCTCCCAGTAGAACAGGGGAGGGCAATGTTCAGCACGCGGCTCACCAGGCTAAGCACCTTGGCGGGCTGGGCCAGTTTATTTACCTGCTGACGCAGCAGGTTCGGCCGATCGCGGCCCCCACTGGCCGCGGTTCACCGTCCCGGGCCAATGGGGCGGCGAGAAGCCACGGCCAGCACATCGCTCGCCCGCGCCGCTTCTTGCCGCCCCCATTGGCCCGGGACGGCGAACCGCGGCCGCGTCAGAAGGTAAATAAACTGGCCCGGCCCGCCAGGGTGCTTACTCTGGCGAGCCGCGTGCCAAACGTTGCCGACCCCTGCAGTAGAGGGAGCCTTCAAGTGAGTAAATCCTCTTTCCATTCCCAAACACTCAGTGTAATGTAATGAGCTTTGCTTTCCCAGATTTCCCAGGGGTGATTTTTTTTTTTTTGCATTGGGATGGTGCGGCCTAGACACATGCTGCATGCCATTCCTCTCTGTACACCAAGTACCAGTCAGATTGCAAACTAGCTGCCGTGCTCTTTCTGGTTAGCATGGCCAGAGCATAGGGCTTCTCTAAGGACAACACTGGCCTGGCCCTTTAAGGCAAAGTCCTAGGCTCCAGCCCTGTCCAGAAGCCTCCCTCCTGATTAGACAAGATAGCTTAGGTGGGGCTGACAGGCAAGGGAATAAGTGGCTTTAACCCCAAACGTGATTAGCACTGTTAAGATAAAATGTTGGATGCTTAACCACAGCTATTTGTGTTTTGGGTGGGGCCTGTTTTCCAATCTCCTGCCAAGAAAAGCCCCTTGCTTGCTTGCATACACTGTGGTCTTTGCTGTGTAAGAGCAAAAACTGGATGGGGAGCTGGACAGCTTAAAAAAAACCTTACTTTTCCTAACTCCTTCTGCCACTGGATGTTACTCTCCTCATTAGCTCACAAAGAAAGGGGCTGTAGAACAACAGGTTAGTTAACTATTTCATGACCTTGTTTAATTCATTTGTTATTTATAACTAATTTCCTCCTCCTCCCCACCCTGGCCATGTATTGTTTTTTAAAAGTACAGGATGATCGAGTCATCTGGAGCATGGATCCTTCATTAGCTCTGCAAAACAGCCTAGGCTGCTTCTCTGAGGTTTAAAATCCTGATGTGGAATAACAGCTTCCTTTGGAAATCCAGCTGTTTAGGCTTTTTCTAACAGGGAAGCAGCTCCCATATGCCCTTTGTCAGTAACAGCTGGAGCCTAATGCCTTCCTTTGGGACTTTCCATGGCAGTCAGACTATGTGATTAGCTTTTGCATGAGGAGCTGGGCTGTGAATGGGCTTGCTTAGAAAGTTATTCTCTTATCAAAGGCTTTGCTGTGTCCTGAGCAATTTAAATTTAGTCAGTGGCTTTGTTGCCCAAGTTTAACCCTTACATGGTGTTTTCCCCCCCCCCCAATGTTCCTTTCACTCTATGCATCTGAAGAAGTGAGGTTTCTACCCACGAAAGCTTATGCCCAAATAAATCTGTTAGTCTTTAAGGTGCCACCAGACTCCTTGTTGTTTTTCCTGACACTGTAGTGTCTGTTCAGAAATAAAAAGGGTGTGTGTGCAAGTCTGACCGACAGCCCCATGAGCGCTGAAGGAGGGCCTACCCAAAACCAAGCAAAGCAATCCCCCTGAGCAGCTAGATGGCTCCAGATCACCGAGACAGAAGATCTGGGGTTAGGTCCTCGCTCTACCACTGATTTATTGTGTGTTCTTGGGCAAGTCATTTCACCTTACTGAGCCTCTGTTTCCTGACTTCTTCAGTGAGGATGAGAACACCAGCCACCTCTGTCAAGCACTAAGGAAGGTTATTAGCCAGGAACCTAGTCAAATGGCCCCGCTTAGATCAGAACTTCACAGAGGGCTCTGTAACTCACCTTAGCTGCTCAGGGACTCATTCATAAGGCATTTTAACAGTGCTGCTCAGAGCCTTGGCCAGCTGCTTGATCAGCTTTGGAGCCCGCTACTGGAATCCGCTGTCCCCACACAGAACCTTTGGCTCCAAGAGCTGTGAATGACACACAGCTGTCAAGTGCAGGCAATGTTTAAAACATTTTACCCTGGTCTTAGTCTCTCGTTCCCCCCCCCCCCCGGACTGGCAGAAGTGCCACCAAACCCAGCCAATCGGTTGTAAGTGTGAAGAACAAGGAGAAAAAACAGCGAGCTTGGTTCTGGCTTATAGCCAGCTGTGCTCAGTGCAGGCCTTGCTGGGGAAGGGCAAAGAGAGCTTCATGCCACTTTTAGAAGATCCCCAATTTTGGGGCCAGTTTGGCCCATGTGTATGTTAGAGCAGCCTCAGGGTTATTCTGATTTAGGGCCAGCTGCCTATGGCCCCAAGGGGACATTCCAGCAGCCAGGAATGGCCAAAGTATAGAGATGCTCCAACCAGAGGCTGACCTTTCCCACCCAATGCCTGTACGGGCTGTGTATATGGGAGATGGGGCACCCAGGGATTCCTATACCAAGGAAGTCAGATCTTCTGGCTTTACAGACCCTGTGCACTGGGGGGGATGGCAGGAAGAGCCATATCAGAATGGAGACTCTGTGGCTCCGTAAAGTCTAGGGAGCAGTGGGAGACACCTGCAGCAGGTAGAAGGTGTGGAGGAAATATTTTAAAAGGAAGCCACATTCTGCAGGAAAATTCCAGATTCCCTACTTTCATTAGCACATGGCCTTCCAGACCATTGGACACTCTGTGCTCCAAGCTGATAAGGCCTCTCTCTCTTTCCCCTCCTCACTGCCTTTTTAAGGTATCCAAGCACCTCATCCCCAGAGGAAACCTGAGGAGGTCAGATAAAGTATTCATGACTGCAAGAGGAAACCAAAACAATTAAGCAACACACCTTTGAAAACAGACCCCATTTAATATTTCAGGAGCGCTTTGTTGCCTAATTGTCTGTAGCTCAATGGGGCTAGGGTGATCCTGTTGCAGTGGACCTTTGGAAGCTGGCCCCCCATTGCTCCTGCCCAGAGGTTGACCAGAGGGGCAAGTGTCTGGGCTGAAGCATTCCATGGAGTTTTTGGAGGAAGATTGTGTTACACTGAACTGCAGGGCTGTGCTTTGCTTTATTAGGGTCTTAGCTAAAAGACTCAAGTCCCCTGTGGACTACACTAGGGCCCAGCTCAGACTCTCTCACTACTAATCCCCAGAGCTCCCTGTCTGACCCTGGAAAGGGAGTAGTCTCGGTTCCCCTTTGATCATAAAAGCTCACATTTGGAGAGCTTTTGGGAACAATGGGCTAAGGGGCAGATCTAAATCTTGTTAGAGTCAATGGAAATATTCCCATCAACTTTACGATCAGCCTGTGCATGCAAGAGGCAGTTACTTAAGTGCCTGGGATACAGACCTAGTGTGTGCCTGTACACCCAGCCTGTTCTCCCATGAGTAGTGGCCCCTCTAATCCATAGGGAGGCAGCAAAGTTCTCTATGAATAAGAGGATCAAAATGTTCAGTTAAATTCCATAAAATAAGATTAGAATAATTATGAGCAGGGCACCTGAAAATTCCCAGGGGAGGTTAATGGGCTTGGGGACATAAGGGCAGAAGGAACTGAAGTGTTTCTTGTCTGATTTTACAGTTCAATGAAAAATACATCATAAGACCCGTTTTATCAAGAAACTGCTGTCTATCCACAGCATGCCCAGGTAGGATAATACTCGGCATTTAGTATATTGCAGACTTTTCCTCAAGGCCCACCGTGTGCTGTGTTAATGCTAATTGGTCCCACACTACTGTTAGCAAGGTAGTGTCCACATTTTCCAGAAGGAGAAACTGAGACACAGAGCATGACTGACGCAGTGGTAGAGCTGAGAATAGAATGCAGCAGCCCCTGCTCCAAGCACTAAATCATGCTGCTTCCCTTGAAGCCTGTGTAGCTGCACATTCGAGGTGCATGGCAGTGAGAGACCTTATTATAGCAGTGATATAGGCTGGGAGTTTAATTGAGTGCCCAAACGCCTCATGGCTCCTTTGAAAGGCCCAGTCAGGAATTTTCTCCTTCAATGAAGAGAGCCATAGTAACTGGTAGAAGTTGCCTCTTCAAATATAGTGCAGCTAGCTTAAAGAGCTTACGGGTGGCGAATTCACAGCTGTGGCATTGGCTAGTGACCATTTCTATGTAAATAGCAGCCTGTGCTATTCAGTCAGGCAGAATTACTCTAGCAGGGCACATGGAGCAGCCATTGGAGGTAGCAATGACATCACAGTGCTTATGACATTGGAGGGGGCCACACCTCTGCTTGATCCAGCTACAGATGCCAGGGCCTGGGCCAAGAGCTGCCTACTGAAGCATTTGTTCTAGAACCTGCAGTCTCCTGGCAACAGCCCAGCTATTCCTGGGTAGCGATCTGATAGCAGAGGGAGGAGGTTCCAAAGGGATTGCCCAAAACCTCACACCCCTCCTTCTCAGAGTGATTAACTGCTCTCTTCTCACCCTTTACCTCTCAGAGACCCCACTGCCCCGGGCACAACTGCCATGCAGGTTGAGAAAGTTGGGTGCTGGAGGAGTGGGCTAGACAGGCCCAAGTCCTGCAGGGAGAAGTTCCTACAAGCTTGGAATGAAAAGCTGAAACTCCAGCCTTGCCCCATCTCCCCGCAAGTGCCAAACTGCCCGTCCCCCGGCAGCATTCCGGCCCAGGGGCAGTGGCCTGGGGCTGAGCCTGTACCTTTCTCGCTCAAGGGGGCTCTGCTGCATCCTAGCTGCCATCCTGGTGACAATGCCCTTTACTTCCTGGCAGTGGTGACTGCAGTGGACCACTCAGGCTCCACCCCTGTGTCTTTTGTGGCACCTGGGGGCTGCTCCGGGCACACACCCAGAACTCCAGCTGGAATACGACCCTGTGACAAAGATCCAGGTCCTTTCTACAAGGAGCTGGCAAGACCCCCCTTGGCCTGGGAAGGGAACTCTGAGGAGGAACTCCTCCAGATCTGTGCTTCAGACTTGCTGCTGGGCTCCTCTCTGAGGAAGAGGCCGCGGCTGTTACCCCCCAACAGGAAGATGCACGTAGAGGTATGGAAAAGAAAACCAGCATCCCATCCTCCGGAGGAGGGCGCGAGAAGCCCGGTCCCTCTGGAGTACAGTCACCTGGTAGATGCCATGGCAATGACTGAGCCCGCCGACATTTCTGAGGTGGAATCTTTCTACCGGCAATTCACCCCCTGGCCAAGGAGACGAGGCTCCTGCAGGAGCACGAAGGCTGTTCACGCTCAGACAGACAGCGCGTTGCCTGTCAGGAAAGCAGATGAGGCTGCCCCCGAGCAGCATAGCCTCTGGGGAGCAGCAGGCAGTGGCTTTAAGCAGCACCCCAAGAGGGCCATGGCCTCCATTTCCACCCTCATCCTGGCTGCCAAGCGGCCCAGAGACACTGCTTGGAGTGAGCACCTCCCACCCAAGAAACGGTACATCCAGTACTGACTCCAGTGGACACATGGGGCTCTTGTTGTTCACTAGGACCGGCTGGTGTGCTCCTACGACTTCAGTGTAATGAGGAGTTCTCTCCCAGCCAGAGCCAAGTGCCCGTCAGAGCAGCATTCCCTGCAGCAGCACCCAACTCAGGGACTCTGGCTAAGCTCCCCTTCACCTCCATTTTAAATAGACAATTGTGTTTTTAAAATAAATCCCTTTTTTAGAGGTCACCTGGTGTTTGTTCACTGCAGATGGTGGGTTGAGGAAGAGGTGCTTGGGAGCTCCTTCAAGGGAAGGGTGTATCATTTACTATGTTTGCACAGTGCCTCGCCTCTAGGTGCTATTGGATTATTAATTTTAATTAATTGGGCACTCCCTGGCCACTTCTCAAAGAGGGGATGCTTTGAGCAGGAGAGAGGTGAAGCCTCTCAGGAGTGTTGTCACCTTACTGAAAGCAGGGGCGGCTCTGTATTTTGCCGCCCCAAGCACGGCAGTCAGGCGGCTTTTGGCAGCGCGCCTGCGGGAGATCTGCTGGTCCCACGGCTTCGGCATATCCACCGCCGAATTGCCGCCAAAACCGTGGGACCGGCAGACCTCCCACAGGCATGCTGCCGAAGGCTCCCTGACTGCCACCTCCACAGCGACCGGCAGGGAGTCCTCTGCGGCTTGCAGCCCCAGACATGCGCTGGTGCCTGGAGCCACCCCTGACTGAAAGGCTGCAAACCACTTAATGCTTTGTATGCTAAGGGTATGCACAGGGACTATTCTGGAGCCCATGTGACCTTGTGTTTCTACTAAGGTCAAAGATCCCAGGCAATTTAAAAGTTGCTAATAACTCCTGCTGCTCCAAGCAAACAGTGCTGGAGGGCTCCTGAAGAAGGGGACTACCTCTCCTGAACTGCTTTGATCTCTCAGTTCTCGCAATCTCACGTTTAATAAAAGTGAAGGATTTTGAGAAGTCCCTCAGTGTCTCCTGCTTCAATATTCAAGTTAAACATGCCTAGCAGCATAAACTAACTCCCCTAATACTCAATGGGCAGAGTCTTATTTGCTTTATTAACAGACTAATCTATTCTCTCCCTATGCATGCAAGATGCCCTGACATGGGATGACTACCTCCACCTAACCTTCTTTAAAAGGGACTAGTTCGCAAAGTTGGGTGCCTCTGCTTAAACAGCCTATCTACTAATGGAAAAAGTCCTTTTCGGTGACCAGCTGGCCAGAGACTAGTGCATCAGCAAGTGAGCTAACCAAGGGCTCTTCGCTATAGGAATGATATTTTATTAGCAAGTGAACCTTCAGGAACAGGAAGTAGCTGTGGTTGCATCTGCCCACAACCAGATGTGACCACATCACCAACACAGCTACCAACATGAATAGGAGCTCACAGCATGGGTGGTTGGTGGAGTGATTTAAGAATCCCCACATAATGTGACTTTGGTATTAGCTCAGCCATGTCACTAACCCCTCAGAGGCCGGATGTTGAGTATGCTGGTTCATAGGCCAGATCAGAGCTATTGGAAAAGGCAGGCACTGCTCTTGTCCACTAATTGTTTTCTATGAAAAATATCTTAATTCCAGCAGGGTTTAACAAAACTATAGAAACAGCTGCCCGAACAAGGCCCAAGAAACTAAAGGGGTGGCACAAAAGTGGAACCATATCATTAAACACAGTGTTCAGATGAACTAGGACTGAGGGGTTCAAACCCACCCAAGCTGTGACTCTCTGGGAGCATAATGTACTTTAGGAAGAGGACTGTATTATTTTCCTTTGAACATTGTATTCCACCAATCTCACCCCAGTCTAGCAAACTTTCTGGGGTGGCAGTCTACTGGTGTATGAGGGTGTGTGGGGTTAGTTCCCCCATTCTCACCCTTCTTGTCAGTATAGCTACCCCCCAAGCATTTACAAAAATCATGAATCTGCCCCCCCCCCCAAAAAAAAATGTATCAGATTTTAAATAGTAAGTTACGGGTTTCTCTTTGCCTTCTGATTGCTGAGCCATTAGGGCACACTTCATGTTTTCACAAGCATGAAGGCGAGAAACTGGCTGTATTTATTTTTAAAGTGAAAACTGATACTCTTACCTAATCACAGACCTCCAGGAACAAAGATTTTTTTAAGAGGGAACCTCCCCAAAAAACCCACCACCACCCAAAAAAAAAATCACAAGTCACGATAAGAGCTGACAACACTGCTGTTCAAAATTGTGGGCAGCTTAGATGGGTGGAGGATGTGTGTGTTGGGGGAAGAATCCCAATCAGTTTGCTTGGAAGGCACTTCTACTCCTGCACAAAAGTGTAGCATCTAGAGACAGAGGCAAGGTACCCCATACTCAAGAAAGGGAGGGAAGGGAAGGTGATCAGATGAGGATACCCCTCATCTGCAGGTCTAGAGGAAAGTTTTATTCCACATCCCCTGGGTGACAAAGAAGAGTACAGAGCTTTCATTGGCACACACAGGTTGTTTGGCCATTTTAAGCAGATCAACTTTGAAGTTAAGAGGAAAGGAGAACAGCTTCAGGTCACATCTGCACAAGGAGCTATGCTATACCACCAGACTCCACTTGCACTGACAAAGCTGTGCTTTTGTCAGTCTAGTTTATCTAAACCCCCACCCCACCAAAATCTATACCAGCATACGTACAGTTGTTCGTATATCTACATCTGCACTATCAGGGAATCACACCCATGACTGACACAGCTCTGCCAGCAAGTTTGTTGTGTAGACAGGGCCTCTACTATTCCTGCCACTACACACTCCCTTCTTAAAGGGGAAGAGGTAGCTCCTGCAATGAGCTTTACTCTTTTGTGGGAAACAGGGAGGACGACTTGACATAGATGCTCCCTCCTCTACATATGTTTTGGCCTTAAAGAGACCCTTACTGCTGGTGAAAGATGGAAGAATCAACACATGACCCATTGGTTTGAAGTATTTAAATACCTTCTCAGCAGCTCTGCTTTTGAGTACGGCCCCTCTGACTGCAGGAGATTCCCCATCAATTGTTCTGATCAAGGAGTTTCTCAGCTAGTGGCTTCTTTATAAAGGCCTCCCTTCACCGATGTACCTTGTGCCCCCAAAAACACTGTGTGTGTCACCTTCACCTAGCAGGCTCACTGGCTTCCAGAGTCCTGGATAAGGTGGGACCCAACATCAGTTACTGCATAAACACCCTGCCCTGTCACTCCCAAATGGACTGCAGTCAATAATCTAGCTGGGCAGAACCAAGCAATGCTGTTTGCTTCACAACCCTCCCCAATTAAAGCAGTTGCTTCCTGAACCCCAGTTGATACCTTCTGCATTGCTTTCAGGTACTACAGAGCTGGAAGAAGAGTCTCAGGTTTGACTCCTTGCTAGCAATTGACACTTCTTGAGGGCATATGATAAGCACTTCCATCTGCTTAACTCCCACTGAAGTTGATGGGGAGTTCTGCATACAGGAGAACTTCAGACCCAAGCTGGCATACAAGTTCAAAGTTAATTGCACAAGGTGCTGGTTTCCAGGGTCACATGCAGGTTTTTTCCCCCAGTATAATCTCCCAGTAGTTTGGAGAACTCCAGGTTATGAATTATTGTTAAAGCTGGTCAGAAAGTGATAATGTTTCCTAGGGGAAACCCTATGGCGGAAAAAAAAATGCTTTTCCAACAAAAAAACAAAGTCTGAGGAAGTGACAATTTACACAAGTTTCCATGGTCAGAAATCTAATTGTCAATTAGTAGAAGTGGATGGAACATTTCCAGCCAGCTGGGGTTTTGATACTCTGATATAGTCCTTCCCTCTCCTGTACTATAGCCATGCTTAAACGTAACAGGAGACTTTCAAGTCTCCCCTCTCAGTACCTGAATCTATCTACATCAGTGATTTATGCTCCAGCTATACTGACAGGTGACATCTGCCCCAGCGTGGAGCTCGTGATTCATCAGCCACTTTATAGGGGGAATCTTCCAATTCTGGAAAAACAGAGAGAAAAGCATTGAGCTACCACCATCTTCAGCGGAGTGACCAACAAGCAGGACAGAGGTAGTATAGCAAGGACTATGCTCCACTGACCCTTACCCAGTTCTCTGCTTGTGAGCCCACCACCTGGCTCCTGAACTTGTTAATTTTGTTTCCAAACATACTGCCCAGCCCAGAGGCTGACAGAACCCAACAGAGAAATTGTTCAGGGGTTACTCAGACCCACATTTCCTCAAGAGCTTAAAAGTCCTTTCAACATACTCACTTCTACCCTTGGGAAACAAATAAACAAAAGCTGCCTTACATGGGAGACACCCCTAGCAACGGGCAGACTCTAGGGATGAGCAGAAGGAGAGCTGCCCTATTACAGTTTTAGAGGCTTCCAGCTCTTCTGTGCAATTCTAGACTACCAACTGTAGGCTACCTTTGCAGCATGGAGAATGGTCTCCCCACTCTCCTTCCCCTGCAAAGAGACTTGTGTTATCAGAAGGTTTATGTTGACCTGTGCATCTGCCTCCCCGCCTCATCCCTCCTGGGGAGCAGTTTGGTAATTACAGGAGGTGACCAGTAGTGACCAGAGCCAAGTATGCTAGAAACAGAAGCTGAGCAAGCTTCCCTTTACAGCAGGTCGCTTAGTTACCCCAGAGCCAGGTCTGTAGCACCCCCAGCAGTGGAAGTGGTCACACTATTTTCGGTTGTGAAACATGCAATCTCAGCCAAGTCCGCAGAAGAGGATTATCCCCACTGCTTCAGTAAGCTCCCTCTGAACACAAACTTATGTAAATTTAGAGGGGAAGGTGCCAAGGCAAAGCCTACTGCACGTTTCATTGGGCTCAGCCCTGTGCACCAACAGAAGAATCAAGCCAGGAGGCCATTTTGTGGGCAGCAGAATAAGAAAACCTATAGTTGCTATTTTTCCAGGGCACAGGTGGAGAAGATTAGTCCTTTGCAGACTGAAAGACTGGCTTCTAAACCAGCATAGACTTTCTAATCTAGTTACTTCTTGTGATTTAGAAGGCCACAGTAAGTAGGGTTACCATATTTCAACAATCAAAAAAGAGGACGGGAGGAGCCCCGCCCTAGCCCCGCCCCCATCCTGTCCTAGCCCCGCCCCTGCCCCTTCCACTCCCTCCCACTTCCTGCCCCCTCAGAACCCCCAACCCTCCCCCCCACTCCTTGTCCCCTGACTGCCTCCCAGGACTCCACACCCTCCCTGCC